CCTCTCCCCAGCCCACTGCTGGCAGGGCTGCCACGGGCTCTGTCCCCCCAGGGCATCCAGTATCTCACAGAGCACAAGCTACTGCCGCCCTGTGCCCAGGACATTGCCCAGTTCCTGTACAAGGGTGAGGGCCTCAACAAGACAGCCATCGGCACCTACCTGGGCGAGAGGTGAGGGCAGGGCAGCAGGGCTGGAAGCGGGGATGTGTGGGACAGCGACGGGGAATCATGGCCTGGGGGCCGCTTACACCCTCTGCTTGGGTGCCCTCATTGTGAACTGAACAGATGCTGGTCCCTGGGGTCTCCCTGGTGACTCTAGGTCCTGATTCCCAAGACAGAAGGTCCTGCCCTGGGGTAGGGAGATGAATGCCAGTGGATACCATTTGTCATACTGCCCTGAGCTCACTGTTGTTCAGAAAAGGCAGGGACGGGGTCAGAGTACCGAAGACCCTGGGTCCCCTGCCGCAATTGTAGGAAGGGTGGACAGGAAGATTCTCAGAGGTGGCAGGTGGGCAGTGCACATATCTGGGGAAGAGCACGCTGGGCAGCTAGAGCAGCCAGTGCAAAGGCCCTGGGGCAGGAGTAGCTCAGGAAACAGGAGGCTGGGGAGACTGAAGGGAGTGAGGGGGACAATGGACATGGTCAGGATGAGGTGGAATCTGCAGGAGGGGCCTGGGTGGAGGAGTGATACGAGACCACCCTCCTGTTAGTCCATGGGGGTGGGCCAGAGAGCAGGAAGAGGGACTGGATATGTGCACTGGGGGCATCTTGGGAGGGAGGACATCTCCTCCCTCGCTGCCTCTCCAGGAGGGGGCACCAGCAAGTTCCCAAGTGCATCCCCCCACCCTCTCTGCAGGGACCCCCTCAACCTGCAGGTCCTCCAGGCCTTTGTGGACTGCCACGAGTTCACCAACCTCAACCTCGTCCAGGCCCTTAGGTGAGTGGCAGGCAGGGCCGGCCCTGGAGGGCGACAGCCTGGGGCGGCGGCATTGGGGTCCCCAGAGACAAGGACACTGCAGAGGGTCGGGCAGAGGCAGGAGAAGCAGGAAGCCTCGAGATGGTCCCTGCCTGGGACTGAGGCTCGCAGGGCCAGAGCCTGGCCGCTTTGGGAAGGTTTTGAGCTTGTACTACTGTGGACGTTGGGACCGACTGACAGTGCTATGTCGTCCTGCTGCTTTTGGGGGCAGTGCCGGTTTCATTTGACTCATGCAGCCCAGTTTGTCCTGCACTTGGTGCTCTCTGGTCAAGATACTCCTATTGCGATTTGATTTGTATTTTCACCCACTGTGGGAGGCAGCAGGCCCAGGGTTTGGAAAACGAACTCTGAAGCCAGACTGACCAGGTAGGTCCAGGGCAAGTCTCTGTGCCCCAGGTTCCTCACCTGTAAAGTGGGCATAGAAACTGTACTGCCTTCATAGGCTACTGAGGACTAAGTGAAAAAGCCCTTGGGACTGGCCCATAGGAAGGACTTAGGGAGACTTGCTGCTGGTGGTAATGCCTGGGAAGTCAGCTCCCAAGAAGGGACACTTAATCTGGCCTTTGAAAGATGTGTAGGAGTTTGAAAGAAAGAAGCCAGCAACCCCCATCTCCCACAGTCTTTAAAGGAAAGAAGTAGATGGCTTACGGTCTCCAACGAGGAGCAGGCACAGCCCGTCCCCTAGGGAGCTCGCCCTGCAATCTCCAGCTTCCTGTTCAGGAGGGAAGTGTAGGTTCCAAGAACGGAGGCCCAGCCAGGGATAGGCACTTGCCCAAAGCAGCACAGCCAGATCCTGGGGCTCAGTGGCCAGGGCAGACCAGGACGCAGCCGGGGGGACATCCAGAGGGGCCCGGGAGCACTTCTCACGGCCTGCATGCTTGCTGCCTCCTGTGCCCACCCCTCTGCTGCCCGCCCCTCCCAGGCAGTTCCTGTGGAGTTTCCGGCTGCCGGGCGAGGCCCAGAAGATTGACCGCATGATGGAGGCCTTCGCCGCCCGCTACTGCCTGTGCAACCCAGGCATCTTCCAGTCCGCAGGTGCGCCCACTTGGCACAGCCAGGCTTCACCCGCACAGTCTTTCCCAAGCCCCGGACCCTGGAGCCCACACATCTCTGCCTTTCCTGAGAGCCACCTCTACGCCAGGTGCTCTGCTGGGGGCCTGGCAGGCAGAGCTCCTTGGGACATGGTCCTGAGACGGCAGGAAATGATGGCACCAGTTGCCAAAGCAGCAGCAACCCTGTCTGAGGGCAGGGTAGGGGCGTCAGCATGTCCACAATGACTTCTCAGAGGTGATACAGTCCACATAGGGTTTTGAAGGATGAAGAGGAGTTCTCTATGATATTTTTGGCTAGGATTTCAGTTTAAACAAAGGCTCAGAAGCATGAAACAATAGGGCAGGGTGTGAGGGACAAAGGGCAGAGAAGGAGATCTCTGAAGCAAAGCTCAGTGCTCCACCCTCTCTCCCTGGGCTAAGCAAACGCCACACAGAGACACAAGAGGACAGCGTGAGCGAGGGGCCACACAGCCACTTGCCCTGGCCTCTTCTCTACCAGCCAGTTCCATTTATGGAGCCAGCTTGGGGAGTGCAGGATACAAGGGTACAAGGTCACTGCAGCCTGCATCAAGGTCACTGAACCCTGTGTCTGTCCCTGAGGTCGGTGTATCCTCCAGACACAGAGCCAAGACGACATCGGCCATGTCCAGGGACAAGTCCTTAGAGCATTTGTCCTCCCCAGCCATCGTCCCATGAGGGCAGGGCCACCTCAGCCAGGGCCTCGGGAACAGGCACAGTGTGCTGCTCAACAGATCCCGGGGGCAGGAGGGAGGGCTTTCCAAAGCACTAGGTGTAGACCACGGTCCAGTCAGCTCGTGGTCTTGTGACCTTGGGTGTGTAACCTGGCTTCCTTGTGCCTCAGTTTCCTCATCTGCGAAGGGGGGTGAGGGAGCAGGGACCGGCCTGTGAGGGGGAGAGGTGGTTAGAGTCTGGCTCCCGGCAGAAGCTCCATGCCAGCCCTGGTGGCTGTCGGAGGTGGAGTCACCCACGTTGTAGGGCTCAGAGCCACGTGAGGTCTGGCCTCCGGAAGACACAGGCTGGGGAGCTGCAGGTCCAGGGCCCTGAGCACTTCCCAAGGTCACATGGAGCTGGGCGCCCCCCGCAGGGCCTCGAGTGGCCAGCGAGGATCATGCGCCTCACCCCACCATGAATGCGGGGCACACAGGGGCTGAGCCAGCTCCCGAGCCCCACAGGAGCAGCCTGAGTTCGAGGCGGGTAGAAAGCGGGTGTGGACTGAGCCGGAGGAGGGCTGGAGCCAGGGCGGGGTGCAGGGGGGCCCCGGGTGGGAGCAGAAGTGGAGAGGTGGCAGGGCCGAGGGAGGCCAGCCAGAGACGGGGTGAGGCCGGGCCTGGAATGCCACGCCAGGACCCCCACAGGGACTCCCAAGGCCTCGAGAGGGTTGAGCAGAGGAGCAGAGCGTGGCCCGCCAGGCCAATAACGCGGCCTGGTCCCGCCCGGTCCCGCAGACACCTGCTACGTGCTGTCCTTCTCCATCATCATGCTCAACACCAGCCTCCACAACCCCAATGTGCGCGACCGGCCACCCTTTGAGCGCTTCGTGTCCATGAACCGGGGCATCAACGACGGTGCGGACCTGCCGGAGGAGCAGCTGCGGGTAAGGGGTGCAGCCAGCACTGCGGGCCGGCGGGCATCCAGGAGGGCCTGGCCGTAGGGGCCAGGAAGGCCCTCCGCAGATACAGCCAGTCCCGCCCAATGTGGACTAGCGGCAGTGATGTGGGCCAGCGCCTCCCAGGCTCGGGGCAGTGCGGAGCCTCGAGTGACCCACACTCAGAAGAAAGGCAGAGCCCGGCCCGGCCCAAGGGCGCGTGCACAGCCTCGCTCAGGCTCAGCATGCCCAGGGCCGCCTGCCTCAGAGTCAGGGCGCCGGGCCCGCTCTGGACTGGTTCTGTCCCTGGCTAGAGCAGAGCCGCTCCGAGCCCCCAGCTGCCTCAGTTGCACAAGCAAGACATTTGGCACCACAGGGCCACACCTTAGAGCGGGCATGAGGGGTGCCGTGGCCCCCGCCTGCCCGCTGAGTGACCTTGAGTAATGACTCACCAGGTCCCCGGGGGATGGGGACAGTCAGGCCTGTGTCTCAGAGCTGCTCTGAGTCGTCATTTTACCAGCATTCAGGGCACAACCCGGGCCAAGCGCATAATGCAGGCTTTGCACAGCGGCTCATGTCCCTGTGCAGGACAATTAATCCTGAGACAAACAGTGCTTGGTGACATGCCGCAGCGGCAGAGGCTTGGACAGCCCGGTCACCACCGGTCTGTGGGCCGTGCTGGCCACACCCTGACCCCGGCATCGGCTGAAGGCGTGAGCTGCAGCCCCAGCCTGAGCCTGCCAGGTCTCCCAGGTGCCACATCCCTGCCGCCAGCTGCCAGAGCCTCCTTGGCATCTCGCTGGTCATTCCACCTCAGGCCTTTGTTCCTAACAACTCCCACTTGGATGTGGGGCTGGGAACCATCCCCTCACGGGGCTGGCTCAGCTTATTGCCTCAGTTTAGCCTCCGTCCACACCTGGGGGTATCCTCCTGGCAGCTCAGAGAGGCAGCACAGGGCAGGGAAGAAGAGAGAGCCGAGTCCCAGCCCCGCTGCCCTGCCACCACTCCCTGGCTGAGATCTCGGTGACAGGCTTGGGCTCTGGAGCCCCACTCTGAGGTCAGCGTGGAAGAGCTGGGCCCTCGGCAGAATGCCAGGGTAGGGGAAGCTGAAGAACCCCAGACTTCTCTGTCACCGGTCTGCTCTCCAGAGCTGCACAGGTGGCCGCAAGGACTTGGGGTCCCTCTGCCCTTCTCTCTGGGCCTTGTTCTCCTCAAATCGGGAAAGCCGGGGCTTTCATCCCCTTGGTGGAAGAGAACCCTCCGCGAAGAGACCCCTGACAGGGCCTTGCGGGGGAGGACTCGGAATACTTTCCCGTGCCCTATGTGTAATATTAAAGGTACAGATATAAATGGAGGTCACCCCAAGGGCACACAGGGGCCCTGTAGATGCACAGGTGGGAAAGACTTCGCGGTGTGAGGTGGCAGTGGGGGACAGGTGCCTGGAGCCAGTTCTGCCCTGGCTGATCTGGCAGGGCCAGGCAGAGTGCTCAGGGGCTCCAGGCAAAGGGCAGAGCCAGGAGATCAATGCCAGCTCTGCCCTTGGCACAGTGACACTGGGCCCTGGCCTCAGTTTCCTCTGTACAGTGCACTATGACTCTGACTCAGTGTTTTCCTCAAAGCAGGGGGTGGGCCCTGGCAAGCAGGGAGGATGGCACGGGGACCGGGTACTCCATCCTCTGGTGGTACAGGTGGAGAAACTGAGGCCCAGGCAGGTGCCAAGTCTCTCAGCCCTGGACTCCCTGGGTCCCTTCCAGACCCCTCTATCAGAGCATCCTGTGTACCAGGCACAGTTGAAGGCACTATGTGTTCTCCTTTAGTTCCCTCTCCCCAGTGTACAGCAAAGACTCTGGGCTCCAAGAGACACAACAGGTCAGAGAGCACACGCCTGTGAAGAGTCCTAATGCATACCACGTCTGATTCCAGAGCCCTTTTCTCTACAGAGAAAAGGCAAGATTTGGGGACAGAGCACCTGGCTTTGCTTCCCAGCAGCCAGTTACTTCCTGGTTGGCGGACCCTGAACTCCTGTCACCACAGTGATGAGGAATCAGTTGGTCTTTAGACTGTTGGCTTCAGGCTCGCCAGATCCAGGCACTGAGTGACAGCAGCGCTTCATCCGGGGGCCCCACCCCTCTGCGGCCCCATCTCTCAGCACCCTCTCTCCTGCACGGTGGCCTCCCTATAAGCAGCCTCTCCCAGTGTATGGCAGAGTGGGCCCGAGCCAGCTTAGCATCCTCCTTCTGAGCTGCTGTAACTCAAGTCCCAGAATCAAGGCTCACTGACTTACTGCTTGGGTCACATGTGCCGCCCTGAAC